CAATATTCAAAATTTACCTGGAAACTCAGCCTGACCCTCAGCTCACAGCTGGCCACGAACAGAGCCCTGCGGGATGCAGAGACCCCACGGGCGGCAGCAGGGAGCCGGGGTGTGCCTGGTCTTCCCCGGGGGCAGGGAGAAATCAAAGGCTGAGCCCTAAAAAATGAAGAAGCCTTTTCTGCTATTCATGTCACGACAGGGTTTGTTCCTGTGATCAGCCATCACCAGCCAGGACCGAGAAAGGATCTTGTGCCTTACGGAAGAGCCAGGGCTCCTGTGCATCCACACACAGCAGTGTCCCGTCCTGCAGGCAACACTTTTTAACACACTGAGAACTGGACTTTTAATCCTTAAAGATCTTTCTTAAGATCCGTTTATAAAATTCCCTCTAGTGGAGAGAGGGTGGAAATTGAAGCTGCGAAGTTCAGCCCACCCAGCAATCCGCATCCAAGTTTTGAGGCACTGTGAGCACTTGCACTGGCCTGCTCAGGGCCACCTCAGCCCTGGAGAAAAAACAAGTCACAAGCTGGAAATTCCTATATTGTTTCATATTATCAGGATTTTTTTTCCAACATAACTGAAAACTTCTGAAGACAAGCTTTTATTTATTAGAAATAAAACTAGGGGATTTTTTTTTTTTAAATGGCTTTTCATACTGAAAAATGAAACATTTTATTTGGCAATGTCAAGGCTGGCAGGTTTGAGTTGTTCAGAAGATGGCAATTGCCATGAATTTTCCTCTCTAGCCACCGCCGTGTCCTTTGCAGCAGCTCGGCGAGCACGCTCGCGCTCTCATCGGCGGCAGACAAACCAGGACGACTTTACTGCCGATGTAAATCAGAGAAGCTCCGCTGGCTTCTGAGGAGCATTGCAGATTTATGCCACGAGCTGACCCGGCGTCTCTATTTTCAAAACTAGGGCAGATTGAAATATGCTGTTTTTCAATAATATATTCAGGTTAACAGGGCTTTTATATTTGGGCAATTAATCTTGCATAGACTAAGAAGCTCTTGGGACAAGGTGCAAAGGTTGCTAAGAAGAGGAAAACAAACACAGTTGTGTAACTCAGTTCTCCTGTGTCTTTTCTTTCCTGAAAACACATTGCAGCGATACGGCGGTGATCTGAAACCCAGCAGTAATACTCCTTTAGTAATCAGAAGCATACCAAGACATAGTATAGAAATGATTTTACTAAGAGGTAGTATTACCTCATCTTGTATTACTGTAAAACGATTCAAACCAGAAATATTGAGACATAAATCTGTGGTAACAGAGGAAAACCAATACCGTGCTAGAGAAAGTCTTTCCGGTCTGTTGCAGGACTCTTCCCTCCCGCGGCACGTGCTCACACGCAGAAGGAGATGCCCGGGGCCCGCACACGCGCTTGTCTCGGTGTGTTTGTGCACGTGCTCCTGCTGTATTTAAAATCACTCCGGGTCGCAGTACTGATCCCTGGTCAGTGCCACCAAAGACTCTTCCCAAACCTGATCCTTGTCTTTCTACGCTCCCTCTGCTGTCTCTTCTGCCTGTCTGCCCAGCGGCCCTACTGCCGCCCGCCAGCATCGCCAGCTGAATCGTTAGCTCAGGAACGCCCTGGCAGACACCATTCGGAGTGCAGACCAGTGCTGTACCACACCTTGCCTAGCAAACGACGTCTGCCCAGGCAGCGGCATCCAGCCTGCCGTCATCCACTTCGAGCAAATCTGTTACACATCACCCCATTTTTCCATGTACCTCCGAGTCTTCACTTCTCCCTTTCTTTGCTCTAAAGCTCAAGTAAGACCGATACATGACTTTTAGGCCTGTTATTGCCCTGCTATTTTCTTCCTCTTTGCGTTTGCTATTCCCCAGTCACGCAGCATCATCCCCAGCTTCACAGATTTACCAAGAACCTTGTGATTTCACCCTTAGTTTTTAATTCTTCCAGCGTATTAGACTCTAAAATGGCCTGGGAACACAACTGCTGTATGCCAAGCAAACCAGTAATTATGGTTTTGTGCTCAAGCCCAGGGAAGGAAATACTACCAAGTAAAAACTGTTGAGCCGCTTGCTTTCTGACCAAATTACCAAAGCCTGGCGAAGGCAACGCTACCCAGCAATCTGCATGATGACCGCTTCAGCAAAGTGGCCGACTGCAATGGAAACCGTTCAGTCGCACATAGTAGCTGCATGTTGCATGACAGAAGTTTCCAATCGCAAATAGCAGCAGACTCGGAAAGGATATGCAGGTGGCTACTGCTTGATTAATGTGTGCTGCATCTGCTGTTTCAAAGTGGCAATTACACTGTATAAACACACCACCGCAACAGCAGTGCATTGATTTATGCTAGCTGAAAATCTGTCCCTTTACACTGTTTTTTTTCTTTCTTTCTCCTCCCACAAAAAATAATTTCCTTCTGAGCCCAGTAAAACAGAAGATCTCACTGGTTCTGTGTTATACCAGTAATATCGCATTCTGCTAGGAACCAGCAATTCTGCTTCTAGCCATGAAATTCAGGTAATGACCCATAACTGAAGTAAATTAGTGTTTAATTTCCCATCCCTTGCAGGCAGCTTACTAATGGAAATTGATTTCTAGCTTTTTTCTTTTTCGTTTAACATGCTTGTGTAATGTCTTTGTTTAGATACAAGCGGTTTCCAGTGAATTTTAGCCAAAAGGCTAGTGTACAGGTGACCACCGAAAGCACCTGGTTAATCAATGTTGTGTTAAACGGTGCACGGGGAACCGGCATGGCAGGGACCTCCTCGTACACACAGCGGGCTCCTTCTGTCCTGCACACACACCCACGGACAGGCTCTGGGACAGATCTCCGGTGGAGTAAATCGGCAGAGCTCACGTCCGTCTAACGCGCAGAAGTCCTACTGTTATGGACCTGATCCCTTACGCACAAGCTCTCATACAAATACCGCGTTCATTTGCACGTGACACGCTTTAATTTATACTCTCGCATGCCCACTGCACTTCCAGACAGATAAAAGGGTGCTTCCCCGTCCCGTGCAGCCACCCTCCGGCCCACAGGCGAGATGCTTGCCCTCAAACCAAGCCAAGAGCCTCGGATGCCACATCTCAGTGCTGTCTGGACCCAGAAGCCAGCCCTGCCCTCCGCACGGTTGCTCAACCAGCACCGAATCCCCTGTAATTCTTGCCCGAACGTGGGCTCTCTTGTGTAATCTGATACAGCCACCAGCGCACGCACACACCCCCTTTTTTCTGCTATTTAGGTAAAACTCAGCCGACAATTTCTTCATTGTATAGCAGCACCAGCATTAGAGACGGAAGCTAGCCTTGGATGTCCAAACCTTTTTCTTTGCAAGGGAGAGGAAGGCAGTAAGAGACGGTACGGTTTTTTACAACTCCTACCCTGTTAAGTTATAACAGCTGTGAGACAAAATAAGGTTTTATAACAGTGTTGTGTTATTTTCAACCCTCAGTTACTTCTGCAGTCTATCAGGTTAGTCTGGCCACTCTAAAGGAGTTGGGAGAATGGAAAAAATCTACTTTCCCCTTTCTGAAGTACTATGGAGGAACCAGAACTCAACTGCTGCTGTTCTACACTTTAAAAGCAGGCCTAACAGCTATTATTTTTTTCAGTGTTTAGTTGATTTTCTGGTTCCATAGACACTTTAATAGCGCTATAAATTGTCTGGTAAAGGAATTGTTAGTTAGAGATGGTGTCTGGGGTATTTGTTCCTTATTGATGTGTAAATTGGCTTGTACTGCTGGCATGCGTTTCTAAAGCTGAATGCTTTGTAGCATGATGATAATAACAATTAGTATAGGATATAGAAAAGTGTTAATTGTGAATTAAAATCCCAAACAGAGATGCCTGTGCAGATCAGTCCTCTCCTCGCGCTCCCTTTTTCTCTGACCAGTGCTCAGAGTGCCAGGGACATTTCCCTGGGTGGGAGAATTTTCTGTGCCCGCTTCTCTCTTCTTGCATTGCTAAAAACCCAATCTTTCCCGAGTGCATTTGCTCAGGTACATTTTGCGCTTCTGCTGGTAGCACAAAACTGCTGTGCTCCTGGCGAATCCTATATGTTATCCCCGATGAATGCTAATTTGGGTTTAATTCTTTAATGGATCAAAGGGGAAGGTGGATATAGAGACTGAAGGAAGGAGGTCACAGGACTGGCGGGTTCAGAGCCCTATAGAGAATAATGGCAGGGGAAGATATGGGACAGAGAATGAAATGCTAGATGTTATCCTTATGACAGCTGTCTTGTGTGGGAGCGTAATGTAATTATTAAAGTAAAAGTTCCTTCCTCTTATGCAAGAGGAAGGCCGTGAGCAAATTAAGAAACCACTCTTTGCCTCAGCTTACCTGTTACAGAGGTGAGAATCCACTTCTGCCTGCTAGGGCTGCAGGGAGGATTAAACAAGGTTCATTGAGCACTTAAAAGTTGCTGTAAGGATGTTGCCTTGTTATAGACCTCATTTAAAACAGAAATCCATGGTGAAAAATTAGATGAAGTCAGAATGAATGGGGTTTTCTGGGCATGATCTGTCTGGGTTTTCATATTCAGAATAGCATGCAGAGGAGAGATAACAGCTCTGCTGAGATGTGTAGTCTCCGTGAACGTACATAAAAGTTTGTATGCTGTCTGACTTGAGCATTCGGAGGTGGAATGATAAAAGTAACTGCAGTCTTGTCTCCTAAGAGTATAACCACCTCAGCTGAACCCTGCCACACGAATATTGTAAGAAGCCATGAAATAGCAGGGGGGAGCCACTTTTCTGGGCAGATCAAGGGGAAAAATTTAACCATGACAAATAATTACGCTTATTTCAGAGATCCGGAGATGGGCAGAGGGGAGCCAGCAGCAGAGCTGAATACAATATTCAATACTTACCTTCTGCCTTAGAGACTCAAGTGGAATATGGGCAATTAGAGAAAAAGCTTGAAAGATCAAAGTAGGAAAAAATGTCCTTTTGAAGTCATAATCAATTATTGTTTTTAACTTACAGCAGGCAAAAGGCAACTTCAACCCACCAAGGAAGGATGTGGGCTTATACTGTTGGTTTTACTGTCCTGCCTCATGTTGGAGGTTTCCTTGGCTGGTTCATTAATCGAAAAGAAATACCTGCTTGCTATATGAAGCTGAAAAAACCTTCATGGTGTCCACCCCGCAAAATATTCCCCATTGTTTGGACTGTCCTGTACACTGGCATGGGGTAAGTTCTGCGTACCGCTCCCTCCCTCGTCCTGCTGTTTCTGATACACAGAAGAGCAGTCATTTCAAATTCTTTCATTTGCTTTTGGGATATCCCTTGTACTGGAATCAGCTGGGCATGTCAGGTACGCTTATTCCCAGCAGATGAAGTACAGCCTGAGCCAAATTCTGGGCTGAGTTCCTCAGATTCATACTGCAGGCAATGCTTTTGGCCAGGGACACAGCCCATGCTCAGCTTTGTAAACAGATGCTAAAAACAGCTGCTGCCCTGGGGAAGTTGTACGAGCCACGCAGGTATGACACGGGCGATGGGTTTGAGAGTAGCGAGGGACACAGATGCAGCTGTCGTGCAAACACGACTGTCCTGCAAATCCCTGTTGCGAAACAATCTTACATGAAAAGACTTGGTATTAGGGATTTACTCACTGCAAAACACTAATGTGTTTCCCTCTTCACAGCTATGCCTCCTACCTGATATGGAATGACTTGGGTGGCTGCAGCAGCAAAGCTATCATCCCGCTTGGCCTCTACGGGGCTCAGCTGGCCTTGAACTGGGCTTGGCCTCCCTTCTTCGGTGCATGCAACCTGAAGTTGGTAATGTATCTGCCCATCCATTCATCTGCTGGAGGCTTGTTTGCTGGTGTCCCTGCCGCACGGGTTTTGGGGCTGTTTGGAGGTTTTCTAACTAGCGTTATGCCATTGTAAAGAGAGCTGCAAGAAGAGCTTTTGCTCAGATACAGTTCACGCTGCACCTGGTTCTAGACAATGGTATCAGTCCCTTCCACCCCTCACCCTGCTCTTGCAGGCAGATAGCTGGCCCCAGCAGAGCAGGGTGGGAGATCAGGGAGTCAATAGTCCAGCTGCTGCATCTCCTAGTTAAGGATTCGGGGTTAGAGATAAGTCTTTCTGGGAGTCACACCCTGCGCTGGCAAGCAGCAAAGTTAGCATCCGTGTGGGGGCATATTAGCTGTGAGTGGCTTACCGAGCAAATACGATGCACTGTGCACTGCAGAGCCTGTTAGAGGACATGCATGAAGGTAAGGTAAAGCACGGCAGAGGTGGACTTGTGATACATTCAGAAAGCACATACCTGACATGCCAAGGCCCACAGGTGATGGAGGTGCAGAGTGGACTTATGTTTCCATCTGAATTTTGTCACTCTGTGGACGAAAGGTACATTTAGAAAATTTGTTAGGTGGTAATAGCTATTGGTACTAACATGAGCATGTTTCTGATCTGTCTGCATTGGCATCAGCAGCAGAAGGGGGCACTGATCATCATAAAGTGTATTAATCTGCGGAGCTCAATAATGAAAATTAACATTAGTCTTGGCTCCTGGTGTGATACATTCAGATCTCACTGATTAGGGTTCAGAGCCAAGGTCCTGGGCTTTAGGATCACTCTCAGTGACTCTTCAGTGCTAAACCTCCCCCATTCCTATTCCATCTCACCACCTTTAGTAGGATGGTTTATAGGGGAAGACTGCGGCGTGTTCCCAAGAGTGAGCACCAGAGTCATTGTCTTCTCTCTGCTCCAGGCACTGATCGACATCCTGTGCTTGGACGTGCTGGTGATAGGCACGATGTGCTCCTGGTACCACATTAACAAGGTAGCAACGCTGCTGATGGTGCCTTACCTGGGCTGGCTGGCCATGGCGACTTGTCTCACAATCCGCCTCTGGAAGGACAACCCTGAGCAAAAACCAGCCAAGAGAGAGTAAGAGCAGGACAGAAATGAAGGCATTTTGTGGAACTAAACTGTGCTGATGTGTACCAAGATCTAATAATTTGGGAGATTCATTTAGGGACAGTCATGAGAACATGCCTCCTCCTCCCACCTTCATCATGGCTGTGTAAAAGAAAGGTCTGCACCATGCACCCGTGTGCTCCTTTAAAGTGTGCATCCTTAACCTGGGAACTATTTTTTTCCAGCACTGTTGAGTTTGGGGCAACAGCTGTATGGTGACCTTAATGCTATCAGGTCAAATTCTATTAGCCAAATTAGGATCTCATGATACCAGCGTAATTCAGAGTATCAATCCTGGACACCCCTCGAAACTGCTACCATTCCCCCAGAGAGCAGACCTTGTTCACACATGTGGTAAATCCCCAGTCATCATCTTTGAGTGATCAAACAAAAATGCCCTTCACTCATACACACCAATTTTTAAGAACTTACTTGATTTTTTGCTATTTGTGCTGTTGCTTCATTTTCATGTATCACCTGGTTTGTGCTTTATACCATTAACTTTTTATCTGTCAGCTACTGAGCAAGCAGTAATCTGTCTTGTTCTGCCAGTGAAAGGAGACTGGGCACTTTGACTTCTATTTGTGGAGTATCACGCTTCCTGAGTTTCATGCTCCAAGATAAAGCAGCAATGATTAGAATGCAAATGCTTCTCCCAAGAGGAAATTTCTCTCTTCCACCTCTGTGTGCTATTCCTCAGCAGAAAAGAAAAATGAACATCGGTGCCTTTGAAAAAAATACTTTAAATGTTTGGGGTTTTTTTTAAGTGCAGAAATGCAAGAGCCTTTGTAAAATTTAAGAACTTGCTCACACTGCCTTGAAGGTTGTAATTACATGATTGGCAAAAAGCCCCATGCCAAGTCTGTCAGGTGCAGTACAGGCATCTCATCCCAGAGCCTTTCCATTCCTGAATATTATTAATCAGGAAAGGTTCAAATACAAGTAGTTCCAGAGAAATGGGACCACGCCATGACAGAATCAGACACAAAAGGTGCATGGACTAGCCCTTGTCCATCTTTATTCTGGCCCTTGCCTTTGATAGATCTGAACCATAGCTATTGCTGTAATCAGATAACATTTACTATTATTTTTTAATTGATAGAAGCAATGTATGTGAAGAAAAGTGGTAGGTGGATCTTCCTTCTGGCAGCTGACTGTAGATTAAGGTGGGTGGGTATACTTGCAAAGGGGGTAGGACGGCTTAGCTGGGGATGTAAAATAAACTGTATTTGCTTTTAATAAAACCAAGCCACTTTTGTTTGAAGAATAAATAAATCCAAGTTATTTTTGATTTACTGGTTCGGCGCTAGGTTTGCAAAAGCTCAGGGGATCCTGTCTGGAGTCCATGGCTTGTGCTCTGGCTCCAAAGGGAAGGGGATCGGCAGCCGGCTCTGCAGGGCTCCGGCAGCCAGACTCATTCCCAGGCGCATGGTAGGAGTGCAAGGGCCTAAAGGTCCCAAAGGCTCCTTCAGCTGGGGCACCTGCACAGCGGACACATGCTCACTTGGGGATGCATCCCCGTGACAGGCTCCTCCGTTATACTTCACACACAGCTTCAAGGTAAGGAAGCTAATTCTTGGGTTTCAGGTCCTTCCTGAGTCATGTCAAGCCTGATTTTTGGAGATGATGAATGTTCCCTGGTCCAGCTCATGTAAATGGCAGAGCTGGGTGCTCAGCATGACTGAAAGCTGGGGCCAAGAGAAACAAATATCGGTAGCTGAGAGCAGCTGAAATTTGTAGCACCTTTTTAAAATTTGGTCATATATATTGTTCTGTCATTTTGATCCCATCCATTATTTTTCCCTTCTAGCTACAGGACACCTTTATGCAGGACTGCTGCTGCAAGCGTATTGCTGTAATCTCCCAAGTAAAAGCTGCATGAGAACAGGCCATTGAATAGATGTGGCTGTAAGGAGGAGTAGGACTATAAAGCATGAGCACTGCAAGCAGCAGTAGAAAGATCATAAGCTACTTAAAAAAAAAAAAAAATCCTATATATTTCAGGGCTTTAGATAACTGTGTTACCACTGAGCTTATTTACAGCGATGCCTCGTCTGTGTCTTCCAGAAAGCCACATGCCAAAGGACAGGAAGACATAAATTATTTCTTCCTAAAAAGAAGCTAATATCTGGGCTGGAGATTCAATTCAGTGGAGTTAAGAATGATTTAGGGTGCCTGAACATCATTGTGCCTGTCCTTCCCTAGTTAGCATGGCAAAGCCAGGAGGAATAGCGACGAGCAGAGCCATCTAGTGAAGCCAGGAGGGATAAAGCCAGTCTTGAGAGCCATCTCTGCTTCTGAAACGGGGAAAAGTATTACATAAATCGCATTTAAGTTGGTAAGTGACTCTAGATCTGGTTCAGACCTGCAACGTTTTAATAGCATTTCCACATTAAATATATGGATACATATTTGATCAGCTTTCATCAATTAGTCCTCTTTCC